GGGGGGGGGGGGGGGGGGGGGGGGGGGGGGGGGGGGGAGGGAGGGAGGGAGGGAGGGAGAGGGAGAGAGCGGTAGAGGAGAGGGAGAGACAGGGAGACAGACAGGCAGGCAGGCAGACAGACAGAGAGAGACAGTAAGCAAGAGAAGGAGATGAGAGAGAGAGAAAGGGGCGAGAGTGACATAACGTGTTGCGCAGTCGGGCGCCGTGGGCGTAGGTTTCAACTGTCCGTTCAGGCCGCGATGCCAAGCAAGACCCCTCATTTTCGAAACCAACAGCAACCGCTGTGTACACATCGCGACAAGCCTTCGAAAAACACCGACAACGCGAAAGACCCTGCACAACAGTCCTCCCGCTGCCATCACCACACAAAACCGCCCCCCAAATATAACAAAACCCGACAACAAACAAACCCTATTGCCAATGCGACCACCACCATGACGCACCTTCACTGAAGCGGCCGCTGAGGCGGCTATACAACGATCCGAAGTGCTGCTTCATGTCCGGGGTCAACCTGACGAAGCTCTCTTTCGCCACAGCGGCGCCGACGGGGTTGAACGCGCTAACTGTCCGGTCCCCTGGACACACCGGCATCGGGAAAAGAAGGAGATAAAAATCAGATGCCAATCCCTTTTGTTTTCCTTCTGTTGGTGTTTTGCAGCTATGCTTTGCAGCTACAGAAGTCGGAGTTCCACACGGAAAGAGGGATCCTCGAATACTCGTGAGAAAAAAAACGCCTCGTCATGTAGGAATATCCGTCACTTGCGAGCGCAGCCCGCGGTCCAAAGCCCGACCAGGGTACCGTAGGTTGTGTCTGAAGCCCCCCCCCCGTACGTGCGAGGCCTGCACATCATGAGGGATTGATTGCCCAATAAAGGTGTAGTGAAGGGATGGCACCAATCGTCTTGTGCCGGAATCGAAATTCTACTGATGCAACACAGCAGCGAAGCGAAGCATCATCGCATCGCGATCGATTGAACAACACGCACCTTCCGTTAGGCCTGCAGGCACGAAATTAGTGGAACCGCAAGAGATACATCTACACCCTCGATCATGTGCACAACGGGGGCTCATTTCGACGATGTACTGCTTGCGGTGGATAAGCAGAAGTTCGATTGCGTTGCCACATTCAAAAGAAAAGGCTGAGAACGATCTCGATCTCTCTCTCACCAGTGTGTACATATGCATACGGTGTTGGTAAGTTCCATTTGTTTTCTCAAAAACGGCAGTGGATGCTGAAGGTTGCAGAGTGCCTTGCGTTCAACTGGTTGAGGGACACAGCAGTAGGTGTTAGGCTTGTTGTCTTAGTAACCACAGCAGTTTTGAAGCTGAGGGGCGCCTACGAAGAGGGTGAGGTACCCCCTGTTGTTTGTTCTCGATATGACTGTATATTGCTTCTGTACAAATGCACCGGAGTATCTTCGACCAATGCTTGCGCTGTAATGGTTGAATCGTTGGGCTCCGCTGCCAAGGTCATTCTGCTCGACAGGCAACAATGGGCTGAGTTGCTGTGCAGAAACACTTCTGGAGACGCTAGACGCTAGCAAGTGTGTGGACGGCGCAATGCGGATGGAGCTGTGCACCGGACGACCCGAAAGCGGAGCATCACATAACTCTTGCAAGCTTTTCGGAACAATCACCACAACACCCTCAGCAGGCAACATGCAGGGGGAGAAAACGCACACGCAAGACAGGGGCACGGCCGCCACACATCTTACACCACGCCATACCTCTAGCGTTGAAGCTCTGGAACGGAGGGTAGAACGACAACCCCTTGACCTCCTTGCCAAGCGCAGGCCTCGCGCAGCACACGAGAATCATTATCCCGGCCGCTGCACCCCACACAGCGCGCCCAAGCCCCTGGCGAAACATTGCAACTGCCGCGTTGGCATGGGTGGTGCCCAGCGATATTCCAGAGTATCGCGTCGCCATGCGCTCCCCTTCTCGCTGCTTCGAGCAGTTCCGCGTGTATGCTCGTGCGTGTCGCTGTGTCGCGGCAGCTGCCTGTTGTGCAATGTGGCTGCCGCCCGGGACGCACAGCCCGAAACAACCGTCTGGGGTTCGACGGCTGGGATACACGTGCATACCCTTGTGGGTTTTCCAAACGGTTCGGATATCATCAAACTCGCCGCCTCGCATTGAGCTGGTGTAACGTTCAACGTTCAATACTCATCGAGTCCATTTCGGCGTTGGTATCAGTCCAGAGTGCGGAGAGTTAGTCAGAAGCTATCAGGAGGGAGAAATGCGGCGAGACATGAAAGGCGGCGTGCATGGCGCCTACCACACAGCCGTGGCCGTGTTCGGACAATTTCACAAAGCAAGGTAAAAACTAGGGGGAGAGAGGCAGGATGGCGTCTGTCGCCGCTTCGCCTCCTCCCCTGAAAGTCCTTACGGACGAGGGAGGAGGTGGGCAACAGCAGCGGCGAGCAGGAAAACGGCCACGACCGGCGGCCGCCGCCATGCCGGCGGTAGTGGCGAGGCGGCGGAATTTGGACCAACACAAATGGGCCTTGTTGGAGAGAGAACAGGAATTGGAACGCCGACGAGTAGAGGAGGTGAGTGACATCATCGAATCCGAAGGGACATTGCGCCCACTACACCACTCCGGGGTTGCGTCAAGGAGGATGAGCTGTACGCTGCTCGCAGCATCACACCACCAACGATCATCACCTTCTTGAATCCTTGCGCCACATGATTGACCAAGCTTGCCGCACCAACATAGTGATTGACTCACGATCAGTTTGACTGCATTCAACCGCAGGAGGAGAGTTGGCACGTCACGCCAACATCGCGAACACCATTCCTCTAGACTACTGATGACCTGTTGTCGTCGTTGTCGCCGTCATCGTTGTTCCTGTTGCTGTTGGGTGTCTTAACATTGAAAAGCTATTTGGGTCTATTGCCTTCATACATCCGTATCGGGCCAACTGATGCGGTCATCTTCCGTGGTAACAGGCCAACTACCGAAGGGGACATTGTATCGTAGCGGCTACAGAGATAGTCTAAAGGCTTGTCCCGGCCAAGAGAATGACATACGAAGCAATACGCATAGTACGTTAAGAGAAAGCTGCTTTGGCCCGACCCTCTCCCACCGAGCTGCTACTGATGTACGCACTTCTAACAACCAAAGATAGTAAGACCGGCCGAGATAAAGAACACGAAATATGCCGATAATAATTTCCTAAGGAAGGCACCAGATCCAAAACGCGATTTCGGCGGCAAACACACCCTATAGTCTACAGAGAAACGACAAAGAGAAATGCCCTCAGCCTCGAACCTACGTCCTACCCCAAGTCAGGGTGGCTTTCTGTCCTTTCAACGACGGAGCCCGCCAGTTGAATGGACACTACACCAAGTCCTGGGACAAAAGGTTGTGTGACATTTCTCATGTGCGACCCCGGCTGATCGTCAGCAGTGCACGAAGGGTGTGCAAGCTGGCTTCAGAATAGGTAGATAGGGCGGACACACCTCCTTACTGTTTCTTTGTCAATGTATGGTGGTCTTGGCAATAGCACAAGTCGAGTAATCGTATCATGTTACCTTATACTCACAGGATGTCGTCATCAGACGTTAGACTTGATTTTAGTCTCCACAAAAATTGGTGCCGTCTTTTTTTTGCGTTCCACGCAGTATGCGTTGCGACGAAATACCTAGGTGTGGCCACCACATGTCTCACGAACTTCGTGCAGCAACGACGACGTGTATCGAACCTTAAGGTGCCCTCGTCACACCCTGTCATGAGTGCACTTTTCGACGGCTCACGTTTGCTTGTAGTGTTGTTTTGATGTCGTGGCGACCACGTGCTCTGGCTGCGTGTACACCAAATTGGTGCCGGCTGTATTTTTTTCGCGCCACGCGGCATGCGTTGCGACGGAATGCCTAGCGTTGAGGCCATCACATGTCGAACGAACTTTGGTGCAGCAACGACAGCGTGTACTGCACCCTTCCGTGCTATCGTCACACCCTGTCATGGATGCACTTGACGACGGTTCACGTTTGGTCTTGGTGTTCTTTTACGGTTGTTGCGACCACATTCGTGCGGCGTCGATCACGCATATGTTCTTCGTCTACGGCATGTCGCTCTGCAACCCCGACTTCCCTCCTGTCAGACTCCTTTCAACTACAGTGGACAACAACACCCTGTTTCGAACCGGCGTACAGATGCTGCCTGCAGCGTGACCTTGCTGTAAACCCGCATAGAGTTCATCCACAATTACAACCTCGAACATCACGTCTGCCTGCCCACCCCTGCTGCGGTAATTATGACAATCTATTTTCATCCAATCTCCTCACAAAGAACCACTTACGTCCACTACTGCTGGCTCTACAGCGTCGCACGCCAGCCCTCTTTAAATACTTGGTGCTACCGCTACACCCTGTCATGAGTGCACTTAACGACAGTTCACGTTTGGTTTTACAGTAGAGTGTTGTTTTAACGATGTGGCGACCTCGTGCTGTGTGTGGCAGTGAGCGTGTGGTAGCCATCACGAATATGTACCGCAGCAATGTAGTTCTTCTTCACGTGTCACGTGCGCTCTGCAGCACCGACTCCACTCCTGCCAAACTTCTACCTCTACTACTGCTGTACTGTAGTGGACAACAACACGCAGCTTCGAACCGGCATAGAGATGTTGCCTGTAGGGTGTCCTTGCTAGAAACCAGAAAAAATCCACCGACATTAATGTGCAACCTCGAACATGACGTCTGCTCACCTCTGCTGTGGTAATCATGCCAATCTCTTCACAAAACACAATTTACACCCACTGCCGCTAGCTCCGCTGGCTCCACAGCACTTTACGCCGGCCTTCAATCTGCCTTATTCGTTACTGTTCCTGCGCAGAGTCTGCTTTTCCGTATTACCGCTGTGCTGTGACTACAATGTATACTGCTTGACTGCATCCGTGCGACACCGGCTGAAGATTCTATGAGACGGATCCATCACGTACCTGTGTGCTTGTAATCATGCTAATCTAATCTTCACAAGCATAAATACTTGAGTTCCCCGCTGCTGGCTCTACAGCACGTTCCGCAAACCCCGCCCATGTACTCCACCCGTTCGTTGCTTCTGCCGTTCCATCCGTCGTATCTTCTGCCGTCCTATTGTCGACCCACATTTTCGACCAAAAATAGACTTGGCATCCACCACTCATTGTTGGCTCTGAAACACTGCACGCCGGCCTTCAAGACTTCGTCTGCGATATCTTGCATCGGATCCTTCGACATCTATGATCGCAAAAACGTCACACTGTCCACACCTGGTGCTGTAATCATGTCATGTAATCTACATAATAATCGTCACAAGAGCATGAATATTTGAACACCGCTCTCTGCACTACAACATGTTCCGCAACCCCCGCCTACTCCACCCGTTTTATCTTCGACTGTCCTACATGATCCACCCACCACATCTATCTTCGTCGGGGCCGACAATAATATCAACGACCGCCTGGCTAACCACACAAGTATTGCTCTTTGGTTGCTACATACATAACCAAAATTCCGTTGTATTCGACTACCACAACCAACGACACGCGCATTTGTTTTGTTTTTCTCTTCGAGACCTCGCGCCACGCCCGGACCCATACCGCCAACAATTGTGGTCTACGCAGTGGACATTTCACATCCACTCACGTTTGCCTTTCGGACGCGATTTACTCCATTATTGAGATACGAGTTCAGCGTCACGTCAACCCTAAAAATGTATCGACGCCGAAATTCCGTCATGATACTGTCCGACATCCATCCGCCATTCATCACTAGTGTCTTGCCACGGGAGTATGGTAACCCGCCCCATTGGCGGGCGGGGGGCCGGTCATTGCCCCTAGTGCTAGGCTACGAAACATTTTGCAGCGGGAATTTCGACGATGAAACAGCCTTGCGTCGCATGAAGGCTTATCATACCAACAGGACTCGGGAACGGTTTACCTTCGAGCTGGCTCGTTTTCTGTCGGTACGAACTCGTGGTGTTTTCAAACGTCATGTACTTCTGGTCGACCAATTTTCACCACGGCCAATAGGGTGGGATTGCTGTAGTAGTGCAGACAAACGACGATGATGGCAATGAGGGGAATTCACTTGGTAACGACGAAGGAGGAGGAGAGGGAACGGTAGGACAAGGGAACGACCAAAACAGCAATCGAGGAGGGAAGCATGGAGTGGAAGAGAGCAAGAGCTTCAAGCCAGATGACCTTCCCCACAAAAAACGACGCGAAGCTAGAGAGGAACTCCCGAAAAAAACTGTGAAAATGACGATGAAAGTGATGGTGGTGAAATCAAGGAGGATGAAAGTGAAATTACTCCACAATGGTTTGGAGTGCAAGGTAGCAGCAGCCTTGGCAGGCACGTGCAAGGTTCATCTGTTGCTACCGTTTCTGTCTTTTGTCCGGAGAATAGCTTGGCCTTCCTCATGCCGCCCCCTCACGGGGTCCTAGTTCATGGCATTTAGAAGCGTTTGTGTTTTCAATGGCACTAAGACTGACGTAGTGTGGTCAGCCGCGTTTAGCGCAGTCGGTGCTAATAATATAAACACGCACACAACGTTTTCACAATCGTCAACCCATGTGCAAATCGAAGCATCGACAAGTAGATTTGAACACCACGACCCGCCCTCGAAGATCGAGCTGCAAGTAAGGCAAACCACTATGCGGGAACTCTAAACCCGTCTAAATCTACCCTCTTTACTGCTGTTTTTTCAACGTATGGTGGTTTTGGCCAAGGCACCAATCGATTAACCGAAGCTGTTGCCAACCACCTGGCCTACGAAGCATTTTACAGTCGGAATTTCGGCCATGAAACAGCCTTGCTTCCCCTGAAGGCGTATCAAAAAATATAATTCGGGGACGGTTCACCGTCGACTCGTTTTGGTCGGTACTCGTGATGTTTTCACCGCCATGAACTACTGGCTGACCAATTTTCACCACGGCCAACAGGTTGGGATTTCGGTAGTAGCTCTGGTGAAAGCGATGACGATGGTATGGAGGGTAATTCTTTTCAGAGTGACGATGATGAACAAACGGGAAATGAAAGAACGGAGAGTGAAGGCGATGATCGAGGAGGAAAACATGGCGTGGAAGAGAGCAATGGGTTTGGGTTAGACTACCTTCCTCACAACAAACGCCATAGGACCGGAGAGGATTTGCCAAAACGTAGTGGGAATACTGGCAACGAGAATGGCGGTAGTAAGTGCAGAGACGACGATAAAAACAATTCCAAACGCACGGGCATCCAAAGTAGTAGCAGCCATGGCAAACACGTGCAGGTTTTTTCTGTTGTTGCTACGGTATCCGTCATTAGTCCGGAGAGTAGCGTAGATTTCCCCATGATGCTCGGTCCCAGGGTCCCAGATCGTGGCCTTACAAGCATTTTGTGCTTTCCACCGCACTGAGACTGACGTGCAATCATAGGTCAGAGGTTAGCACGGTCGGATACACACATTTCTGTGTGCTTCCGTTTGGCGTGTCTTAGGCTGTGGCCGGCGCATGAAAGACAGGGTTTTCCCTGGCCCTTTCCCTGGCTCTACCTCCAAAACTGCACGTGACAGCTAGGCCGGCGTTGAGTGGATAAACATTTCGCTAGGTTAGTGTGCCGGCAATGCGTGCTAGGTTAGAGCTGATGGGATAACGGTGTTGCCGGAGTGGGTTCTAGGTAAGCGTTAATGGGACAAGCTTTGTGACAAGCTTCTGCACCTTTGGAAGGTTGGTATTGCCTGGTAGGTGCTAGGTTACTGGCAGGTAGATGCTAGGGTGATGGTGCTTGAAGTAGGCCAAGTCGCTATTAGTAGGGAAACGTTCCTCGTGCCGGTCTGCATCGATCGGCGGGACTGGCATCATTTTTGGAGCGAAAAACGGGCCATCTCCTGTGCGCCCCCCCCTGTGGGTGCATTGAATACTGTTGCACAGCACCTGCCAACCAACACGTTCATTCTTCACGCCGCTCATTGTTTACCCTGCCTCCGTTAAGTTACCCGTGTTACCCTTGAACAACCCTCTTTAATGTTTCGTATGCATGACGTGGATCACTATTTGCGATACGAACACCGCAAGCAGGCGATTCGACGCCTCGATGCCATCGAAGAACTTCGAAGGAAGGCGCGAGAGCGCAAAATGGACAGGGATAGGAGAAGGATGGAGTTTGCCGCGAGCCTTGAAGCCAGCGTCTTGACACTGCAAAGGTGGCCCTGGTACTGATAGCATTAAGTGTTTGTGCAAGTCGTGAGAAATTTACATGGACTAATCTCGGGCCGCTCACACGCGAGGTGTGCAAACGTCCGAGGGCGAAACTGGCTCGAACGGATTGGTATGTACTCTGGCCGTGTCTTTAACCGAGAGAGGGGCGCTAGCAGCTACAGTATGCTGTCGCATCCAAGTCCGGAAGGAGCGAGAGGAATATGATTTCGTGGTGTGGAATGACGACGGCAGCACCTCTTTTCACGATGGCAATGTTTCATATTTAATGGTCAAAATCCAGTCTCGCGATCGCACCACTACACATTTCTCTTGACCCCGAACCGCGGTTGGCATTTTCTCGCTCATCAGTTCATCGCATGGTTACGTGTTCAAAATGGATTTTCTGCGCCGTACTTCGTGACAGTTGGTCGGTCCTGTCACATGCAAGTAGACGGAGGAGCGAGGTCTTACTGCTGGACGCGGCCCCTTTCAACGCCGTTCTTCGACACTGGGGCATTGTTCCCAAGCGTGTTTCTCCACAAAATTAAGTTAATCCCAAAACGAAACACCAGTGGAACGACGCCTCAAAAATTCCTGTCCTTCTATGCACCGGATAAACAGCTACCTCTTTTTAGATTGCGACCCTAGGTCCCACCGACGTGGTTCGAATTCCGATATACACACTACCCGGACTAGGTGTCAGCCAGCCCCCCCCGTGCTTACTCGTCTAGGGTGGATGATGATGTAAGGAGGGGGTGTTGTCTTACGTCACCGGTTGGCGTCACGCGCTTCAGGTGTGAGCGGGGTCGACAAGCGAGAAGAGTGGCGAGTAGACGCGCCTGGGGAGTCGCGACAATCTCCAGGTGGATGTTGGCCAAGATACGACGCGCGGCGATACTAAGGGCCGTTCGAAACCGAAACATTCTGAACATCATGGTGTCGGTGAGTGACCGGGCAAACCCGCCCTCCGCAGGAAAGCGTTGCGCGGCCGACATCGAGGGAAAGAGTATTTGGTCCACATGGACGGTGCTTGCTTCGCTTGTGCAAGCAACGCGATGTACACTTCTTTAGCAGCCTTGGTCCTGCTCTGGTAATGTTCGGGCTTTACGCGTTGTGTCTACTGCGGAGTCTCGCGATGTAGGAGAGGATCACCGTTTGTCGATCTTCCGTGTGTTATTACAACAAACTGTTCTGGGCGTCACTCCTGCTCGAATGGAAACGTCTCTCTCCTAGAGACTGTGCCACCCTTCCCTTTGAGTGTTTTCTTCCTGGTTGGTAATAACCCGAAGAGTTCTGTCCCGCGGATTGGCAGAGATTCGAGGCATCCTTCAGTATTGATCTATGGGCGCGCATGACCCTCAGTACCGCCCACCCAGCACAGACAAATTTTGAGGCACTTCATTGGTCGGCCGGGCAGCCTACTCGCTGCATGAGTATGAAGCGCACACAGCGGGCTGACCAACGTACTTGACTGATATTTTAAATGATCAGCTGGTTGGCGATGCCGATGCCAGCTTGTGGAACCACACACACACGCATCCTCTTGTCAACGAATGCTCATCTGGAAGAGTACCTTGTGCGAAACGCTCCTGTCAAGGCCAAGCGCATGAGATACAAGTAAGGTGCAGGACGTGTTCAAGCCCTGCGGTTGAATGCCACAACATCCATAACCGCGATTGCGCGTCGCCTCCCCCCCCCCCCCATATACTCAATAGGTGGAAACGCTTGTGCAAGAGCAGCTCGACGAGGCCAAGTTCTTCGTCAAGAACGTGATTGCTTTGCGAGATTTCAAGACCCAGCGGGCTGCCCGAATCATCCAGGGCGGCTTTCGTCACCGGGCTGAGGTCACCAGACGGTCGGTTGCCATGATCGTCCGCGCCACGCGCCGCTGGCTCATGAGGGGAAGCCTGCGTCGTGCGCGCATCAGGCGCGGCATTCGGCGGTAAGGGCATAGCAGACAGTAGTCTTGTAAGCTATTGCAGGGTGGAAATCGCCGTAAGCGACTCGGCGATCCGTAGGAGTACAGGCGGGTCATCATGCAACGCTGTGAGTTCGATGCTAATCTATGCCAGACTCTTTTCTGTGGAAACGATACATTTGTTGTGTTATTGTAAAAGCCAATAGAGGCTAACGTCTACACCCCCCGGCCCATGAACTCGGAGATAAGATACTGATTTGGTTGAACCCTTGTTCGGTGTTTCAGAGTTCCTTGTGATCGCCCCCTTGAGCCCCCTTTTCTCTTGAAGCGACTTCGTCCCGCGAAGGGTTGATAAGTCCGCGTTAGAAATAATCCTGACTGGGAATGCTCTTCACTGCCACGTCGTTTTGTGTTCCATTCCTTTTTTTCGGCGGTTTCGTACAACACCATCGCCGAGAATGTTTTCTTTCTGGGGACGGCGTGATACCCACCGGGCGTGTGTAGGTTCTGGAGAAGAGAATCTCGCGCCAAGTATCTACAAGCACCCGTTTGGCTTGCCTCCTGTATCAACCACCGTGCGCCGTTCCCTCCCGATCCCATCCGTACTCCCACCCCTCAAGTCAAGCCCTGACCGAGACTAACAGCTGTCGTGTATCTTGCTTATCTTGTTCCGAGCCTTGACTCCTGAACCTCACCCATTTCCCACCTTGTCCTTGCCACACACCAAACCTACCGTTATCCAATTACCAATCATATTCTTATCCCCGCACCCCGACTCGTCTCTCCCCGTACCCGAACCCCCGCAGTTATCGCGGGAGTCTGTCGCGACGAAACCTGGGGCTACAAGAGACCAGCCCTTTCGCCCTCACGGTGGCGAGGGAGTTTCCTAGAGAGGGCCGTTGGTGGGACTCCGGCCCTTCCGTGGCGCCGCGGCCGAAGTGGGGTACCCTGCGGGTGAGGAACGAGGAGGCGCGGTCGCGGCAGCGAGCGCTCAGCCTCGCAGATCTGATCATAACCGGGCAGCAGAAAAGCGATGATGATGGTGGCGGTGGGCGTGCGGGCAACGCGCGGGTAACTATGTCTCCTTTGGAGGGCGGCAGCGGCGGCGTTAGTGGGACATCTCCGACGTGGAAAGCGAAGGGGCGGGGGTCCGGTAGCAGCAGCAAGGGTAACGCGATCGGGATCGAAGCTACCGGCGGCGGAAGGAGGAACAAACATTATGACTCTATAAGGACAGAGGCAGGGGGCACGGCAGCGGCGATAGGCATAGGGTTCAGCAAGGGGGCTGCTATCCGGAGAGCGGCGTCGATGGTAGACCCGAGGGAGGCCGAGAAGGCCGCCCTCATGGACGAGATCGGGAGGAGACACGCCAGGAGGACTGCCGTCGCCCCGTCCTTCAACACGCTTAGCATCGCGGAGAAGCACCAGCTCAGAGAAAGGGAGTTTCAGGAGCAGAGGGAGAAGCGGAGGGCCGCCGTGGAGAGGGAAGCCCGCAGAAAAGTAAGCCTATCGATGGATTCAGAGTAAACAATAGACAAACATATTAAGGAACGGAGAAAATGCGAGCGTCACGACGTCAAGACGGGGAGTTCCTAAATAGCGGTCACGGCTGTGTGTCGATAGGTATTGCTGGCTCGCTTGCCGGGTTTCATGAACGCTGGCAAGGACCTGCGGACGCTCGTGAACCCTGACGCGTTCTGCGTTACTCCCCCTCCCGCGCCCTACAGCCTTTTGAAAGGCGCCGGTACTCCTGTAGCCGTGCGTTTGCGTGAGCCCGGACCCATGCCTGAACCCCTTTTCCCACCTTCTGCCAGAGCGCATTGGTGAGAGCGTGCATCATCATCTGGGACAGGCACATGACCTGAGGCGCGGACATGGCTCCCCCCTGTAGGGGGAGGACATCCACCTACCTTTGATTGTCAAGACGTGTTGAGATATTCTGGCCCTCTGACTGTCATATACGGGGATAGATTCCACGTGCCAAAGCAAGATGTTAGCTGGCAAAGGCATATACGGGGATAGATTCCACGTGCCGAAGCAACATCTTAGCAGCCAAAGCTTAGTGTGCTTCCTGACCACCGATGCCAATAATAGCCTTGAGATGCACAGCTAGCCACCCTCTCAGCTACTCTGGTGCCGTGTGTTCGGAGAGAGCTAACGAGCACGGGGAGGCCACAGAAAAACGCTTGTACACCCCCGCTCTTTCTCTAAAAGCGGGAAAATGAATTAGGGCTTTCCCTTCCCCCTTTCTTCACGCTCCCGCACGCCACCGGTGAAACTTGTCTCGTGGTATTGAACATCCTTGAACGTGAATGTTCTTGCCACAGGGCAAGGATGCAATCAATTCGCCTTCGTTGTCGGCGCGTTTGCGTCCCGCATGATCCACCAAGTTACACCCAGCAATCTCCCGAAAGGGTCGAAAACATACTCATAGTCACCCATCTTACCCCCGCAATATTGCAACAACCGGACGACCCCCCCCCTCTCCTTCTATGGTGTGTTCAAGGTAGAAGCAACAACACACCACGGGAGATTGCTATTCGGATAGTAGAGTATTTCACCCACCCTCCCTGAGATAACCGCTACCTCTCTCATGCCCCCCCCATCCGTTGCGCATCCCGTAGGAAAAGCAGAGGGCCCGGGAGATCGCGGAGGCGGCCCGTCGTAAAGCGCTGGAAGCGGAGCTTCTTGCCAAGATGGAGAAAGAGAAGGCCAGGAAACGCCTGGAAAAGATCCGGGAGTACCAGGAGAAGAAGGTGACAAGACACTGCGATAGGTGACACAAGATAACACACCCCCAGGACCAATTCTCAAAGCTCGATTGCTCCACGACAAAGAGGATGCATAAACGAAACGACACACTTTTGGAAAGCTCTCGATGAGGCGGTTTCAACGCCGCTTTTTTTGGTGATGCCCCTCTTTCTGCTGTGGAGAAATCAAGCTTGAACATCGGTCCAAGGGGTGTGATATCTTACGTCATGTCACCTAAGGTACGCACCACCGTGCTGAAGACCCCGCGAGAACTGTAGAGCCTCTAGCTTCGCCTAACGCTCTTATCTTCTCTGTGGGGTGTCCCAATATCGACAACATAATGTAGGTTTCAGTATAGCGTTCTTGACCCAGCACCTATTCTAATGGTCGAGTTTATATACGTTGTTTCGTTGGAGGCTCAACGTCTTGACGGCCAACTTGTTTGGTGGTACGTAGTGCTTTATGCAACAACAGAGGGAGAGCAAGAGTAAAACCCGCATAAGTCCTGATTCACTCCTAAAACAGGTGAGGGTTTTATTTGCACAACAACAACATGAAACGAACCAAATATTGTGAGCGATTCTGGAACAACCATCTGGTAAGAACGGTGTACAATAAAATCGGGACACCCAAGTGTGGGTTAGACAAGCAGGCAGAAACAGAAAGGAGAAGTGGGAGCGAGAAGGAAAATGAGAAGATTTGTGTGATGGCAAGGGACAATCGCGATTCCGGCGCCGTGGAGGTTTCACTCGGCTGCCGCGGGGGACGATTGTACTCATTTTGTGCTTGCCTATGTTTTCATCTTACTACTCATCATCGACCAAGCATTGGAGGCTCTATTCATCAATAACTTTACCCATAACGCATCGACCCTCGTAGATGTTCGAGGCACAGCACAACTCAGCACTGCGATGGAGAGCTTGCCTTGGGTCCCATCCAGCGGCGTCTAGATTGTTTGAGCCCCTGTAAGGTAGAGCGGGTGAAGGAAGTCGAAGATCGAACCTAATAGGCGGAAGGCTTTCGGGATCTACACCGGATCGATTTGCGCTATCTATGTCGATGGTCACAGCTCGAAATCGCACCCCAGCTCCCCATGAACCGGGTCGATGAAGGCGTCAATGTTTGCTGGGTGCGACCGGTTCGCCGTCGACAACTGCTCCGCACGGCGCTCCGAGACGTAGACTACATGTATCGTCCAGAGTGTTCCGAGAATGGTCTACAACTGTGATAACTTTCTACACACGTACAATTGGCGAACCAAAGAGCGCTTCGCATTAACCATGGCGAAAGAACTGGAGGGAGGAGAAAAGAAAGCAGGTCTTCGCTCGTCACACCGCGAGTAGGTAGACGTGCTTTCCCTAGCCGAGAACTCGCAATCGATGCAAGAATATAATGTTTCCGTGCCAAGAAAAAATACACGGAGAAACCCAGATTGTTGTACAACAAGTGCTCTGCTACTCCTTGACAATGTACGCAACTGTGTATTTTTATTGCATTCCTTTCGCTTTAAAACCGCACAGGCCGCAAGGGAGTTGGCAGAAAAGAAGTCGGCGGCAGCCAAGCGAGAAGAAGAGCGCCGAGCCCAGGCAGCCGTTGAAGCAAAGCGGTGAGCAAGACAGGCTATTTCAAGCAGAAAACTCGAAAAACAGCTTCCTACGGCCTTTTGTCTTCATGCCAGCGACGATCTTCCTCACCGTACATTGCTCTGGTGTCGACGACGTTCGTTGGAGGGAGAGAGCAATAGCTTCGGCTAGGACACTATGGACAGAACGAGGGGCTGCGCGCAATAGAATAATGTGACTTTGCCATCTGGCAAGCTCCCAAGAGAATCGATGCGTAGTTACGTTGGAATGGCGGTTATGTAGAAAGCCTCCGCGAACGTCCGACCCGAGGTTCCTGGCCCACCGCGAGTGAGCGCCTTCGAATTCAGCCGAAAACTTTTCCGGGTCAAATCCACGTGGAGATCCACTCAACACAACCACAGCGAGGTGTAAACAAGACCCCTTTCAGAGGACGATCGGCAAAGCTCGATCGCTATATGCCAAGCAGGTGACAACGCCGAACGACACGTATTCGGAAATATCATATCTTTATATTGTTGCAAGAAACGTCAAACTTGCGGCATCGACACGTTTCCTCAAGAGGAGCAGTAGAGATTTGAAAAGCGGCCCGAGATGGTCTGATAAAAAACGGAATTCTCGTCCTGCCCCGTGAAATCTTCTGGGAATCGTTGCCTCTGTGTTAGTGGCGTATACCATGAGAAAAAGGTACTACGCAAAGCCACATCGCTCCCGGCCAGCAGTTATCATTCTAAACTCGCAGTCGCCGCTCCCCGTCGTCTCCTGAACGATCCGAACCGATAGGCTTGCGGCCGAGGCCTCGTTTGAGAGGGAGAGAGCAAACTGGTTGGAGCGGGCGAAACGGAAACGCAGAGCTGAGGAAAAAGCGAAGAGACGGAACGTGAGGCGCGCCCCGTTGCTGCTTTCGCATTAGGCCTTGGGTCGTTGTCCTGTGCCCCCGGGAATAGATTCGCTTTTCGAGCTCGGATGGAAACATGGAAGAAGTAATCGGCAGCGACGATATTGATTACAGTATGTATCACCAGCACAACAGTAGAAATACAGCAGGTGAAGCAGGGACAGGATACATCGAGGGTTATTTATTTCAGCCACACACTCAAATCCAAACATTTCCGAAACCCACGCTAGAACAGTTTATTTCCGCGACACACGTACGAAAGTACGTTCCAACCGAGAAAAATCAAGACTTGACGAGAAATGTGAGATTCGGAGGACGTCTGTATGCGAGTGTTTTTTTCGCGTGCAAGATGAAACGAATCACCTCGATGTTTCCTGACGTACCGCACACGAAGAGATCGAAACAACGAGTTGTCCGTGCAAACAATTATGAAGGGTCGTAATAAACGAGACAAGAGGCGGAAGTTGAGGGCTTGTAGGTCGAACAATCCACAAGTAATGCAAGGTGACGGTCTTGAAAAAGGCGAGTTCGCGTCGGACAAAGCTAAGGGAATGTGTGCGTCTAGCTGCTTTTACGTTGGGTGATGCATGCCCTCCTCCAGTGTTGGCAAAGTCGCCTCGGGATCAGGATTGAAGGGAGGAATGCACCGCATACAGAAAGGATGTTTGGCGACCCCAGGATCATAGATATTCTACGGCGAGGTTGAAACCGTAGCGTGGATAAACTTCTGTGAGCCGCAGCATCAGTAGAACAGAGAGCCACAACACAAAATTCTACGAGGTCCGAATCGACTTGGTGCCTCCCGGCATGGCCTTCGTTCTCCGTTTACCTCCCAACCAAGGAATCGAACCCGATATCAATAACAGCAAGAGCTGCTTTCAATATGTACACTCTCTCGCCATTCGCCCCGCCCACCGTATCCTGCGGTTCTGCCACCCGAACGTGACTCATGGAACAAAGGATGGAGGGGGGCAGGGGGCGGAGGGATCGCAAAATATGTCGGCAACAGCCCCCGTGCACCACCGGACCAAGAAGCACGCCGCCCCCGACAGGACGCGCCCCACGCTAGCCCCAATGACAACGACCACCACCATCAATACTATCCACCACCGAGGCGGTGGCAGGAAACGTCTAAGACGGGCCGCGTGCGCCCCCGCGGGGGGCGGCAGCGGCAACCACCAGTCTGGCGGTAAGACCGGCGGCGACAGTGCTATCAGCAGCAGCTGCTCAACGCTGCCACGGGTTCATCGGGCGGTGAGAGTAGCGGCCGGCGTTCGAGACGGCCGGCGAAAAGTGGCGCCGCACGGCGCTACCGTGCCGGCTCTCCCGGTCGTCCCTGGGTACAAGGCCATGGCGGCCGGGGGGACAGGCTGTGTGGAAACGAGGAAGAGGCCTCGGCGACGGCCGCGAAAAGGAAACGCTGCGGCCGAGAGAGGAAGGGGCAGGGTACAGTTAGACGGTGGTGCAACAACCTGCGCAACGGACGTGTTTGACGAAATCTTGAATACTGGAAATGGCACAGCCGATCCGTTGCCGACGTCTGGGGGCGACGGAGCCGGACTAGCCCTGAGGATCTCGGGCGGGGAGGTGGGCTTTGGCCTGAAAGATAGCGTTCTGCAGGAGTCAGTGGCAAACATCCTACCGGGGGGTCCCCGGGAGCAGCACCAGCGTGAGGTGGAGGAAGAAGACAAGGAGGAAGCGGAGGCGGGCCGTGGGAGAGGGCATCGGAGGTCCTGCCTCGCCGAAGATGAATTCCTCTCTACGGAAACCTTGGACTCGGTCTTTGCCGTACCGGAGAGTGGGGTCGGAAGTGGCGGAGGAGGGCGAGAGGCCAATGCGCCCGAAGGACTGGGAGGCTTGTCGCCGGGGTGGAGCAGTCGCAGCAGTCGGCGAAGCAGCGAGGGGGGCGACAGTTCGAGCGGATTCTTGAGCGACTCGGCGGCGATCCGTGATGGGAAGACCTTGCTGTCCGACGGACCAGTCGGCGACTGGGGCAAGGCACGCACGGACGGCGGGGTCACGAGTGACGCGGCAACGGCGGCAGCTGTTGAGACTGTAGTCGGGGGTATCATAACGGAAGCTAGAGAAAGGCACGCTGCAAGTTTCTCGCCTGGTGAGGTCGGTGCAGGGCAGGCCGATCCTAACCAACATACGATCAAGACAACGTCGCCGACCGCATTGCCAGATGACACTTCCGATATGACCGACAACCAGATGCCCATCAACCAGCGGCAGCAGGAACAGGAACATCAACAAATCGTAGAGGATGAGCTCACCGCGCAGTCGCCTACATCCTCGTTATCTTCTGTAGGTAGTGGCGAATACGACGTGGCCGAGACAGAAACGGAGATAGGGGTCGAATCAGCTGACCTCCTGGAAGGTAGACGGCGGTATATAGCTGATGATGATGACCAGAAAGGTGTCGGAGGCGGTGGCCTTGGCTCCTTCGAGTCCCAATGAGATTACCGCCCCCAACCCTTGAAGCGCTTACCGGTTGCTAGGCGTGCAAGCCTATGTTACCGCCGAACGGGCGGACTTTTGAGTACTCGTCACGAGACTGCCCCTCGACAGCGAAAGCCGGTAGGACCTACTTAGCCGCCGATGACTGACTCCAGTCTGTGGGTCTTGTCGTGAAAGGGGGTACGGGCGGCATGGGAGCCCGTGCGATGGCGACCGGGAGGAGAAATTGACGAGAGACAGAGAGAGGAAGATGGAGAAAGAGAGATAGAAAGTAACATTGTTGACATGCCCCAGGAGCCTCAAACGCGGGTGTAGTCAACCGGCCAACTAGAGCCGGCCAACTGGCACCTCCGACGCTACATCCGCACTACATATGCCTAGACTACACAGGCGTAATTTCCCGCGAGAACAAGAGCAGCCATCAAACACTGTCGGTCCCTCTGGTCTCGACTTGGGGCATGTTAGCAACCCAACTCGACGGCATATGTCTAGCCCATATATTCTCTACGATACCAGCAACCCCACAAAAGGAATGTTATTCATTCTGACCTGGTCTTTCTTTAAGCTCGTTCCGCTCCACCAGGGAATGAGTGAGAGTATGTTGTCCGTCGCAGGAATACGGGAAATAACTTTCATCAAGCCAGAAAGTAAACGTTGACAAACTGTCCACGATTCGAAATCATTACAGTACCACAGCGGTTAATCAAGGGTGGGTGCAAACGTAGGCACGCCAATTGTGCACTGCTGTACTGCAGTAAGAATGAAGATGATCCAAGCAGCCGTCACTCGCGAGCAATTCGCGCTGCGATCGGCCCATGATCATGTACTGTTGTTATAGGATTCAGATGTGTAGACGGAACATAGAAGAGCATGGTTCCTTCTAGAAGGCGCGGAGAGATGCAACTCTCCGCGGAAGGATAAAACAAAGGGGACAGGATCTAGTAGCCCCTGTTTGTACTGAGGATCCTGCGCCCCTTGGTGTCATTCCTACCGATACCCAAGGCAACAGCTACTGCTGCTGCTATTCTGCAAGAGTAATAACAAGTGAGTTCTTCTCCACGGGTCAACCAGACTTCATCACGCGTGTATACCACCACACTTGGCGTTGTCGGCTTATTCGTACGGTGTTGTCTTGGTTGGTTGTGTTTTGGCCTGTTTGGTGCTTCGAACTGCTGTGGCAGTTCTTGCGCTTCCGTCCCAACCACAGCTTAGCTTTGCCTCGCTTATCGGTATGTCTCAACCTAGCGTCGGCTCCTCGGACTCCGCTTCGGCGAGTCCTGAGCATTCGGAACGTTCGCGTTCGCCAGCGTCATCGCCCGGCGCAGCGACCTTCGGGTCACCAGCAGCTGGTTGTCAAACCACACAGCTGCTGCTGTCTTCGGACAGTGCCCGTGCCGCTGACCCTGTTGCTGAAGCCACTCGTTTGTCAGAGCTTCGCGCTCAACGCACACAAGAGAGGTTCGCCTCGCCGGCTTCGGCCGACGCTAACCCCGTGGGTGCTGTCCTCAAACCGCCAGCACCCACACCTGGAACTTCGGTTCCCGCCTCTGTACCTTTGGGTGTGCAACAGCAGTCCGTCTCGTCGGCTGCTGGTGATGAGCTTTCTGAATTCCCGCGTGCACCACATGTAGACTCGCATTTTCCTCTCGCTCCATCCACCGTTGAGCACTCTGCTCTTGGGACAGACATCGGTTTCGACCATCATGCTGGTCCTCTAGTACCGCCCTTGTCTAGTCAATCGGCTTCTCGCAGCACGTTGCGATTTGACTATACAGTGCAGGCAATCCCCCCTTTTTCTTCGCGTAGCGATCGTGTACAAGCAGCGGCTCGCGCCCAACGGCTTCGTGACCGCCGTGCATTTGCTTCAGTGACATCACCGCTTGCAGATTCCGCCGCATCCATACGTCTGTTCCCGTAGTTTCGACTACACGGGTGATTTCGATTGTTTCTGGTGCACTCCCTACAGTGGCTTCGGCTACCCCGGCCCTTTCGGTTGATTCCAATGCATTTGATTCCTTGGCTTCGTCCACACAGGCAATTTCGTTTGCCTCCGATGCTTTGGCTTCAGTAGTTTCGACTACATATGCGGTTTCGACTAGTTCTAATGTGCATGCTTCTGCGGGCTCGACTGCTGCAGGTGTATTTGCCTCCATCCCTTTAGCTCCGCCTCTACCCACAGCAGTTTCGACTGTCCGCGGTGCTTTTACCTCTGCAGCCCCACCTTTGCGTACCGTTTCGACGCTGCGTACTGTGCCGTCTGCCCCCCCCAATGCCTTCCATGTTCCCAACACCGGTGCATGTGTTTCTGCGGTTTCGACTGCTGCACGTGTACTTTTGCCCATTCCGTTTGCTCCGCCCCTACCCACAGTAATTTCTGCTGCTCGCGATCTAGTATTCCTGCAGCTCCGTCTCTGCGTACAGTTGCGACTATGCGTACAGTGTCGTCTGCCTCCTTCCCTGCCCGTACTATTCCCACACAGGGCCTTGTGCCAGCTGCTTCGGCTGCTGTAAACACCGCTGTTTCTCTGCCAGTAGATACGCCTCCGCTCGCATTTTTCACCGATTCACGTGTCACACCGGGCCATGTGCCAGCTGCCTCGGCTGCTGTAAACACTGCTGTTTCTATGCCAGTAGATACGCCTCTGCCCGCATTGTTCACAGATTCGCGTGTTCGCACGGCGGAGTTCGAGCCTACCGTTTCGACTGACCTTGCTGTGCTAGCTTCTGCTTCGGCACCACTAATAGCTGCAACTTCGGTTGTTTCTGCGATCCCCACTGCCGCTGCACCTTTTTTTTATCCTGACGCGGTGCCCCCACCCCCCCCATCTTTTCCTCCTCGCATGAACGTGCTGCTACGGCTGAGGCCTTGCTTCGTCTTGAAATCGCAGAGCGCCGCAACCGCCACCTCTACGACATCCTACGCCGTACTACGATGGTGGCCACGGCTCCTACCGTCAAGCCCGAGACGACGTCTTCTGCTGGGCTGTCGACTCCGGAGCTTCGGGCTTCAACCACCGGAGGCGGAGCGAGGTCCACAGTCCCCGACAGGCCGGCCGAGCCGGTTCCGCTGGCCCTGCTNCTACGCCCTTCTCCTGCCCGCCGTGGCTCCCTCTGTTTTTGTGGGATGTCATGTCCGCGAAGGCCCGGGTGACCGCCTGGACGGACGCCGTTCGCATGGCGAGCGGCGCGGCCGTCGATGCCGACCGCGC